GTGCAAAATGTGCTTCGCTTTTTTTGTATTTTAACTCCCCAGAAAAGGAAAATTCAAACTTGTGATTAAAATAAATTTTTAAAAAGGTGATATAGCGATTGTAATGATGAAGTGATAATATTTTTGAAGAATTAATTTTTTTTTTTTTTTTTATGGGTCATCCTGCTTTTTTCCTTTAGTTCCATTCCCGATTTTAAGAGCGCTCGTGGACGGATTTTTTACCCCCACCCATGCCTCGTCATTATTAATTATGCGAATTGGTTGGTGAGTATTTTGTAACTCTTCAACCCCTTCGCTAGCTTCGCTTTTATTGTTTTGGGGGTCACTTGGGAAATGAATTCCAACCGGTCGGCATTCCACCATGTGCACATTTATAAATTTATAATTTGTGTATTATACATTTTATACATACATTTTCATATTTCTTTATGTATGCAAACCGCGTACCACGTGTTCCGGTTTTTGCTAAAACGTGTTAGCGTGGCGTTAACAAACTAAACCAGTTTGCCATAAAAAAAAAACAAGTTGCTTTCAAATTTAAAAAAAAAAAAAGGAAGCTTTTTATAGAGTCGGCCCTGTAACAATTTTGACACGTTTTGCCCTTCGTGGCACTTGATGAACCAAGCTGTCGAGTTGTTGAGTGACATTTTTCGTCGCGCCGAGGTTTATGCCTTTTTTTATCCGCCGTCCCCAACGCAAGCGCAAGTATATCCAATATAACATATACTCATATGTTTTTTATATGCGTTCAAGGTTATGCGCTCCACGAATCGACTTGCGCTTCACAACAACCGCCACTTGGCATTTAGCCAAGGTGAACCAATTATACATGTCTGCTTATATACTGTTTAGCCCACGCGCAAAAATGTGGTGACTTCCCGCAACCGGTCCCCCTAAGTATGTACCAATCATCATGGTCGCATACAGAAGGGCTAAAAAAGACAAACAAAAAAAAAACAAAAAAACACATGTACATATAACACAATAATGAATGAAGAATCCCCACAAAAACCATTAAGTATACCAGGTTACTACTACGAAAAGAAGAAAAATCGCTATTATCTGATAGACAATGAACTGAAAAAGAAATTGAAGGAGGAAGAATTTGAGAAACAAGTAAACAATGCCAAGAGAAAAAATCGCCAGACAAATGTAGAAGAAAAAGATTTATTTATAAAAAAATTTCACAGGAAACATGGAATAAAAGAAATGAAAAAAAAAAAAAAACACTCCAACGCGCAGAAGTCAAATGTGAAACATAACGACAATCAGGGTCATATGTCCTTAGACAATAATGCGTGTGCCACATTTAGTAAAGAAAAAAATTTAGAACTAATTAATAATGAGTTAAATTCTTTAAAAAAATGCATTTCAAAAAATCAGAATATTTTTAATATACTGAAGAGCATCCGGAATTTCCATTTTCGAGAAAATTCCATTTTGAGTTTGCCGCCCATTTTTATTAATATCGCATCGTACCAGTATATTCACGTGGAAGATTTGTGTGACCTTCACTCGAATAACGTTTCATCTTTCTGTCGTCCCGGGGGAGGAGCCATGACAGTGCGCAGTAGTGTGGCCCACCCGAATGTTCAAAATGGTCTGGACGCTGTGAGTACTGTCCAGAGCATCAGCAGCTTGAACAATCAAATTGAGGACGCGAATGGCGAGAGCGACCAGAATGACACGGGGGGGGACACGGATGAGGAAGACGGCACGCGGTACGTGCGCGGAGTGAATGACCCAAGAACAACGGCCCTTTTTTCAAATCCAAAAAGAAATGACACCATGGAACATACCGTCACCGACATTAGATTCTTCAACGTGTGCCAGAAACTGATAGATGAAAATATGATAAAAGGGAAACCATATTTAGACATAAGCAAAAATGAACCATTTTATTCATACCCAAATTTCAGGAAACAGAGTGCATATACTGCTAACTCACCAGAAGAGCAAACGAGAAATTGCGCTAGTCGAAAGAAGAAAAATTACTCGAGCAAGAAAATACAGCAAATAAAAAATGAAAATCATATGTCCCCCGGATGTGATGGGACAGGAGGAAATGGTGGTGGTGGCTTACTTATTCCAAAGTTATTTGGACGGACATACGAAAAGGTAAATGCTCGTAGTATACAGAATTTTAAGTCAAACATAATTATAAATAGATACAGGGCTAATTTTTACTATTTTTATCACATTCCCAATCAAACTTACGCTAACAGGTGTAGAAACAATAGTGCGAGTCCTTTGCGCAATGGGAGTAGCACCTTTAATGCTAGCAACAGCATTAGCAACAATTTCAATTACAGCTATAGTCATGTGCACAGAAATAGGGACGAATATGATGACATAAATGCAATAGTTGATATAGATCATGATGTGGTGAGCCGACCGCTTTCTTCTTCTACACAGAACAATACTACCTTATACAATGGGATATTTCAAGAAAGAAGTGGACGTAGGCTTCATGAAATTATGCCCGTTCGTCATTTAGATGTAAGTACGAACGAAAGCAGGATTTTAAGAACATACAAGCCAGCGGAATCGTTTTTTCACCTATTCAGTAATCCACTTTATGAAGATTTTATTTTTAGTACCACTAAGGAAAACAACTGTTCCTTTAGCTTGGGAGCTATTGATATAAAGAACTTTATTCAAAAAGATAATAAGTCTCCACTAGAAGATATAGTTCATGAAAACGTGTACTACAATACAGACACAAAATATTTTTGCACGTATTCTAAGGAGAACACGGAATTGTTATGTGTCTCGCCACAAATATTATCTCATTTTAGCATTTTCAATTCTGAATATATTGCCTACTCGTCCTATCCGAATATGAAGGATGAAAAAAGTTTGCTATGTATGTTTAACATTTGTTCTTTTTTTCAGCGCGATCCAAAAATAGTTACGTACAGTTTTGCAAGTGAAATTAATTATTTTAAGTTATTTCCATCAATGCAAGATGGCTGTTACGCACATGATAATGGAAATACATGGGACTCTGCTAGCCATACCATGAATGAGAATTATGCATACCACCCTGATAACAAAATTGATAAAATTTTTATTTGCGGGTCTAACCCTTGTTTCAGTTTTAACGCAATAAAAAATGATGGAGTTCCGTATTGCATATGGGATAGCAAGAAATTAAAAGTCCATGACTTGTTATCCATGAACGAAGATTTATCATGTTATGTGCACAACATTTTAAGCGGAAATCAGAACCCATTTAACAATTTAATTGGCAATTATGGCTCCCTAAAAAAGGAACGATCCGTGCACGCGAAAAGGGCGAAGGAAAAACGAAAAGGTGAAATGGGAAATGATGAAAATGGGCACGAAAAAGCCAACTTAAACGAAAGAAGATCATCCGTGGATTATCATTACCAAAATGACCCACAGAAAAAAGGTTATAATAAAAGGAAACATCCTAGTAAAGATCCAAATGAGGAAAATGACGATCTGCACGTAAGTAAACATGAAACGACAAAAAAGCGACATGACCATTTTGTAGACAAATCAAAACATAATCTGAACAATCGCTCGAATAAGAACAACCACGGCCAGTACACATCTGCTCCACATAACTTAAATGAAAAAATGAGAAACAAGCATAGTAGTAGTCATGCCCCCGCCACACATAACTGCTACCCATCAAGTGCGGCAAAGTACAATGATAATAAAAAAAAAGGAATATGTTGTGAAAGTGTGAACAAATCAAACAACAATATTTTTTTGTGTTGCAATACAGAACATATATATTTGTGTGACTTACGGTGTAATTTTTTAAACACCATTTCGAAACTGAAGCCGAATGAAGGGTACGTAAATAAAATGTACTCATTAAGCAATAGCTTTCAATATATATTATCAAAAACTAATAATCATATAGGACTGTACGACATGCGGTATGCCCCTTGTAAACATAACAAGGAGACAAAAAGCAGTTTGGTAACTTCTTACGATAGATTTATAGATAATAGTAACTTGAGAAAACACCTAAACGATTTTTACGTTATAGACAATGAACAGTTCCTAGTTTCCCTAGACACATACACAAATTCGGTTCATATATATGACATTATGAACACTAAAAACAGAATCATAAATTTGGATGGGAATTCTGATTATTCGATATACTCTAACATACACGCTTACAATAATTTGTCAAGGATACCCTACATATATTCTTCTCATAAATACGATGATGCTTATTATCATTACTACAAAAAAAAAAACAGTGAAACGAAGGCAACGGAAATTAAGCATATGAATCATTTGAGTCCAATAAAAACGTATCCACAAAAGGACCTATTTATAGGGTTAAATGTTCAATCCATTTTACCCCTTTTTTACGTTAAACAAAAGTATACCAAGCATAATTTCATTTCCATAAATGAAGGTGGCTTTATTTGTACCATAAATGTGTAAAAAGGAGTTCTACCTCATGACAACTCGTTTTGACACATATTATTTGTTTTATTTATTCATAACAACATCCGAAATAGTGTTTTTTTAATTTTTAAAAATCAACCCCTTTTTTTTTTTTTGTTAACCATTAAAAGTATATGTGTATTTGCCGTACCTGCACAATATCATGTATATTTTAAAATAGTTGTATTTTTTTTGGCGTATTTTTAATTAACATTTAACCGAAAAATTTATTACGTGCTTTTTTTATTTTTTTGAAGTATTTTTTTTAAATGTAAGAGGCGACAATTCATAAAACTGCGGGATATACGGCGCCTCCTGCGGGCATATGTAATTTTTCCTTTTTCTCCGCCCTTTTTTTTTTTTTTTCTTTATTTTTTTGATGAAATGAAAACTTTTCATTATTAAATGATAAACACTTAAAACTGGAAAACTTAAAATTATGTGCTTTAATTTTGACCAAAGTAAATTCATCAAATAAAATTTCCCATCGTGTGCAATCCATTTGTGAGATACACTTGGCAGTTAATCATTTTACCAAAATTAAGGCAAAGTTTGTATCAATGGATAATGGAAAAAATGAAAATACTAATAATTGCTCCAATCCCTTGTCCCTATGTACAAATGATTTAAAATTAGAAGAACGTGATAATAAATCAGGAGAACATGAGTCCACTGATGACAATCATAAAGGTCTTATAAAGCAAAATGGCATTTACAGAACAGCTGTTTTTAATAACAAGAGGATTCAAATTTATCAATACAAAACCTTTCCAAAAAATTATCTACAAAGCGTATACCAACTGTTGGGGAGTGAATTATCTGAACCATATAACATTTTTTTACTTAAAACGATTTTGAAGAACTATAGCGAAATTGCACTGATGGTATATAAATCTTTAATGTGTGTTAATGAATATGCAGTGCTGCACCATTTCCTCTATTTTTATACATGAAAAAAAAGACCATTTCTTTATTTTTTTTTTTTATTAACTTCAGTGCTTATGTGATGAAGAGTGTATGGGCACAGTAATAAGCAAAATTACGACAAAATGTAAAGATGATGAACTAACGACATTCGGATATATATGTAAAAGGAAGAAGCAAAAATACATAAATTTAGCGTGTAACATTGTTTTCTAATAGTTCTACATATGAGTGTGCATCTATCCATGAAACATTCGATTTATTCCTCTTTTTCTTTTCACCATCTATAAATCTTAACAGGCATGATAGCAGTTCACAAATCTGTCAGAAGTTGTGGTCTAGGTTAGAATTCTGTTCAATGTTGCGTGTCAATATTTAAAGAATCCTGTGAAATCATAAACACCAAATTTTCCCATTTTTAGGCACATACCTATTAAATGAGAGTATAAAATTAATGCAAGATTTGTATGGCATAAATGAGGTACACACACCTTTAGCGTTTGTTGTAAAAAATTAAGCGTTTGATCAAGCTTGATACTTTTGCATATATACTTATTTTGTTACTATTTTACTTTATCCTTTAGGTTCAACTGGAAGCAGAAGCAACGAACAAACCTACATTACGTAATACTTGTTTTTTCATTTAAGTATATATTTGTGCATATGTCTGCATACCACTTAGTGCCATACTGCGCATGACATTCTAATTTTTGTCATTATAGGTTTCTATGAAAAAAACGGATTCATTAGAGTGAAAAGGAAGCCCTACTATTACTTAAGCGGCGTTGACGCCTTCAAATTAAGGAAAATAATATAGAGAAACGCAATGTACAAAAACACTGTGCACTTAAGCATGATGCAAAACAGCACAAGATATTTGTGTCCTTCCTCTAAGTTTTTCATTTCTTATTCTAAGAAAAGACGTGTGATTTAATAATTCGAATAACGCTTTACACGTTTTGTATCCTAATTTGCCCTTACATCTTTCAAAAGAATACTAACATTTATGTTTGTTATAGTTTATTATGTTTTTACACCCCCTCCTGTGAATTGATTACCATTATTTTAGTTTACCACGAAAGGTTGTAAAAAAGAAATACATATGTTCTTCTTTTCCTAATTCAAATTTAGAGCAAAAGAGTCCACAAACTTTTTTCTGTGTTTAAAAAAAACAAATCTATAAAATTTAATTTGCTTATTTTGTAAATTACTTACGAGTTCATCGAAAGGTATTATCGCATGCTTGCTTACAGCGTACTTCGAATTATTCATTCGAAACTTCATTATTCTTTATAAAGAAAAAAAAAATTCTGCACATGTTGATGGTAAAAGCAAAAAGTTTACTAAGGCGTTATTTACAAAAAAGTTGTCTAAGGTGAAAATGATTTTTTGGTGCCTTCTTGCGTCTTTATGAGAACATATTATCCCTTAATACTCTGTTCTAACGAGACATTTAATATTTCTTACATTTATTTATAAAATTTACTGCTTCAATTACAATTTATTGGAAAAAAAAAACCCTTCTGTTTGCAATTTTGTAAAAACCCTTTAATGAAGTACATATAAAATGACAGAAAAAAAAAATGGTAATATGTTCTCTCCATTACACTTTAATTCCGGTCTTCAGTATACTCGTAGAATCCCAAAGTTTTCTTTAAAATGTTTCTGTGATAATTCAATTGTGTACAAATACTAAGGAGAGAAAAATATGTATTTTAATAAGAGAGCAAGGGAAAAAACTATTTGTAAAAATATTTGGTATACACATAATATGATAAACGTTTATTAATCTTAAAATAGTTATAAAGAAATGATAACCTTGTTTTTGGCAAAAAGTATTGTGGAATGACTTATAAATCAGGAAAATTTCGTTTCCTGTTAGATGTGTTGTTTAACTTTATTTAGGAAGGGTTGTCTTTTTTAAAAAGCGGTAAATAATATTGAAAGCCCAGAAAAGAATTATATTTATACTAGAATGATATTTTAGGAGCATTATTATTACTGTGCTAAGTTCAAGAAAGTGGGCACGAAGTTTTATGCATGTTAAGACAATTATTAGGAATTGTAAATGTTCCGATTTGTTAACAAAACTTATATGATTTTTTAGGTTCAGAATGCTAATGTGCATGATGATATTGCTTAAAATGTAATAACAGCTTACATAATAACGATTATAGTTATAGGATAGACAGAAAAAAAAATAATCCTCAAGATAAAAAGTACTGCAGAAATATGCTAAAACCTGTGCGATTTTGACAAATATGAAAGTAAAGAATATAGCACATAACTATACTGCTGTATTTATATTATTAAATATTTAAAATAGGTGACACAATCTTTTAAATATACAACGGAATCCTCTGTGTATTTTAAGAAGTTTTAATCTTGTTATTATAAATTTAATTCCCTATTGTTTCTAGAACGTAACGCTGCATGAAAAACATTGTGTATGTAAAAAAATAACAATCTTCTGAATATATATATTTTAGAATCAATTCCATATAGCAACGTGTAACATAGGTATTTAGCTAAAAGAAAAATTCAAACGTACTAAGTGTTTTTGAAGCATAAAAAAATATCAAAAAGTACTCTATGAATCAGTTACATGCCTTGGAATAAAATATGTTATATTGTATATATTTTTTGATTTTGAACATAATAAAGTCAACGATTAAATGCTATAACTTAAAAATGGAATTTAATTGCGCAAAGAAAGACAGAACTAAATGATTTAAAGAAAGACGAATGTGTTCCTATAAGTTAATATTCATAGTATTCATCATAAGTTACATTGTCGTTATATTTCGAATACACAATTGTCTATGATCATTCAATATATAGATAAAATATTAGCCAAATATTCATTCATGGTAACTCAGAATTAAAAATAGTTATTCTGATTCATTTAATACAAAGGACATCATTGAGATGCATAATCATTTTAAATATAATGTTAATATAATCTATTATAATAATGATAAAAATATGTAATGCATGAAGTTATAAACAGTAAATGCAATAAATAGAAAAAGGAATAAAATATATATACAATAATAGTAAATACAAAATGTATTATACAATAAAATATAAGAATAATTATATTTAAATTAAATTAAATATTAAATAAAGTGCACAAATTAAGCAAAAAAGGAACCTTACAGTAAAATAATTCACAAAAATTAAACTGTATTTTAAATTAAATATAAAAAGAATTATATTTACAAAATAATAAAATAAAGCCTTTTTATTTTATATTATGTTAAATATATTTTAAGTTATATATTAAAAGATAAATATTGACTATTAAATTATATTTGAATTTATACCAATCATTTTAATTAATTAAGGGAATAATATAATTAATATAAAATAACACTATGTTAAAACTCAATTATAACATAAATAAATTTATTTAATATAAAAAATAAATATATTAATAATAATATATATATATAATAAATTAATTAACATAAAGTACTAATTAAAAATAAATAATTAATGAAATAAATTATTAATATAAATAAAATAAGTTATAGTATAAATAAATAACTAAATTAATTAACGTAAATTAATTAATACAATAAATAATTAAATAATATATATAGACAATTAAATAAAATATATTGTATATAAATTAAATAAAAAAATATAAATAAAATTACTTTAAATAAATAATTAATAGAATAAAATATATAAATGATTTATGTAATAAATATAATTAAACATTATATATAATTAAGTTAAATAATTAATATTTTTATTTGATCATGTATAGAAACAAATATAAGCAAAATATATAATATTATTTTAAAGAATTAATTATTTTAATAATATAATATATTAACAAGTATTTGCTTAAAATAAAAAAATGAAATTATTATTATTTTAAATATTAATAATATATGTATATATTAATTAAACATTAATATAAAATAATAAATATCTTATTAATGTATATGATAAATTAAATAAAATAAATACATTTTAATAATTAAAGGTATAATAATTAAAAAATATCATAAAATAATTCAAAAAATAATTTTAAATAAAACAAATTAAATGATAAACATATATTAATAATTAAAATGTGTATTATTATAAATGAATAAATAATTTTAATTAAAAATAAATAAATAATTATAATAAATTCATTACTATTAATAATTAATTAATTAAAACATAAATTAATATATTAAAAATTAATAAATAATTAATATAAACATTCGAATAAATTATATAATATATAATAATTAAATAAAACTTAATTATAAGATAAATAAAAAACATTATATAAATATATATTGTTTAGTTTTTAATAAAAATAATTAATTAATTTATTATAGTAATATATATAGTATTACACATATCATGTTTAATATATATTTTTTAATATATTTAATTAAATAATAAATTAATATAAAATCCTTATTAAATAATATTATTATTGTTTTTTAAATAAAATTATAATATTTAATATATTATAGCATGTAATATATATAATTTAAATTATTTTAATTAAAATAAATTTATTGAATTATAAAATATAATAATTATTAATTAATATATATTTTTAACTTAATAATAAATAAAAAATAAAAAAATTATAAAATTAAATAATGTTCTATATATATTATTATTTCATTAGTTAATAAATATACTAAATTTAAAACAAATTAATTATTATACACGTTTTTATTATATAGACGATAATAATATTATTTTATTCATTTAAATATTTAATGAATACAAATTTATATATTATTAATTATGTTAAGAAATTATAATATTATTAAAATATGTATTTATTTTATTTAATTAATTATATAATTATTAAAAATATATATAAATTAATATTTATTAAAATAATAATACACATTTTAATAAAGGTGTAAAATTATTAATTTACTTAATTAATATTATGGTATTAATTTTTAAAGTTTTATTTTATTTATATTTAATCCAATAATATTAAATTTAATTTTATTTAAATCATATTATTAATATTTAATTAATATAAATAAATTGTATATATTTATTTTATTTTTAATTATTATTATATTATTTATTAACGCTTAAAATAATTAAATGAAAATAAAGTTAATATATATGAATTAATTAAATTGTATAATAAAAAATATATTTTATAATTAAAAAATACATATTAAGTAAAATCATACATGTAAATGCTTTTTTTAATTTACTTAAATAATATATTAATCAAAATAAAAACTTATTTCATTTAACAACTGTAAAAACACATAAAGTATATTTATAAACATAATTCTCAGTACGTGTTAATTTTTTTGCTTGTCTTTAATTGTTGAATTTAAGAAGTTCATTAACAATATGATTTATTGTATATTGTTTATATAACATTTCAAAGTATGGATAATTTTTTTTCTTTATATATAGTACTAAGTACATCCTGAATATACATAATTATCACTCGCAATTTTTATTTTTAAACCTTATAGATTTGATATTTACACACACAAAAGTGACTTTTTTATGATCTCCATAACCTAATAGAAAAATATATTATTAACTAAAAACCTTTAAAGTATTGTTTTATCTATTTAGACACCTAAATAGATTACTACTGTTTTGTTAGTTGTGGGTATTGGGGGTCTTTTTACCATGTTACACATTTTTAACGGAAAGCTTACCTTAATTTTACTGTTTTTAACTGTCCACTTTATTTGGACATATAAAACACAATCATGGGAAAAGCTCTTGCTTTTTTATGAAACTTCTGAAGTGTTCAATTATAACATTAGTTTTACCTATAGATACAAAAAATGTGTAAAACAAATCTACTCATTTAACGGTGCTTCGTAAAGACAACTTTAACATGTGCCAAAAAGGTTCATATGTAATATTTTCTAAATAATTTAATCATTAATTTCATTGAATAAGAGATATATTTGTTAAAATTTTTCTTTGTTGTAATATTTTATAAAGGTGTAACAACGATCTAGACAAGGTTGCAATACAGTGTTGGCTGAACGTGTTCAAATGTAGGATTAATAGTGTCATTACAAAAATTGAAATGGTTAATAGAAGAGAATCGTTCATATGGTTAACAATTCAATAATCTCCCTAATCCTCCAAATTTTGTGGCATTACGTAAAATTTAAAAACCATGATGCAACTCTATAGTTCTTTCAACAAAAGAAAGGAAAAAAATCATTTGCAACTTTAAGAATATAATGTGCGTCATCAGTTATTCTATAAACATATGAATATTTTACTATTATATTTATAAGTTTCTACTTTATATTGCATAGTCTTTGATTTACGCTAATTATATGTAACTCAATAATAGTCATAATACGAAGACATTTCTATGCAAAAGACAGGTCATATTTAGCTACAACATTAAGCGCATACATTTTTATTAAAACACTTTCGAACATGTGCTTTATATATTCCTTTAAATCAATATATTATGTTTTCAATTTAACATTTACATTACAAACTTTTTGAGAGCAATATAGCTTGTGCCTTTCAATTCCGAGCGTAAAGCATACCAAAACAAGTAGAAGAAACAAAAAGAAAAGAAAAAGCATAGAAAACTTAGCTTTTATTATTAAAAAAGTAAGCATTGCAATCTAGTAAGTCCAATGAAGAACACAGAAATCAAAACTATATGGATTCATACATATAATAAGTGAATTTTCCTTTTTGTTAAATGGGTTTTGGACAAAGAAATATTTAATGTATATGATTCGTAATATACATGTGGGTATTTTGTTCATATAGCAAATATAATGCAAACGTGTGCAGTTCTTAGCACCTAATACTTTTTTTATAGTTTTTCCCTGTTTTCTACAACCATATATTAAAGATTAAAATTCTTTAGGAGTGTATACTTAGAAAGAACATCACCTATGTTAAGAATAGAACTTGCTCTTATTTTAAAGTAATTTTTTTTTTTTTACAATACCTTGACGACTTTTTGATTTATTCTGTAGACTTAAAAAAAAATTGTACCCCTCCAAAAGTTAAGTTTAAAGTTATGTATTTTCCTGTTTCTTTAAAATAGATCATTCATATTTATTCGTTTTATTTGTGATAATAGTGATCACTTGAAATGATTTTTCTTTTTTCTATTTAATGTGCAAAGTGATTTTTTTCATTTAATGCTGTTTTTTATTTGGAAACATTTTACACAGTAGTATGAACACCTCAACAAATTAAAAAATGCTCTTCATGAAATGTGCACTTAAGTCTTAAGAGGCTTACACAAATTTTACACTACACATTGCACTATTCTTAAAATTTTTTTTTTTTACTGTGTGTTAATGAAAATTTCGCATATACAGAACAGAAGAAATTTATGTCTTATCTCATTTCACCTTTTAATGTTTTTACCCAAGTATACACGTACATGAAAATATAAACTATACTTGAGATAATACCATTTTATAAATATATTACATTTTTTAACGTTTTTTAAAAGAGAAAACCGTTATGAGTATGCGTGTAAACACATAAAATTTTTAATCTTTGTCAACTTCATTACTCAATTTCTTCAGTTTATGTAAAAAAACTTTTAATGTAAATTGTATGTACATATAAGATAGGTTAAAAAAAAAAAATGCTTAAGGTTACATTTTAAATAATGCCTTTTTGTTCGTACATTATTTTCTTTTAAAATTGAACATGTGAAAATGGAATTTTGGACAACATAGCAAAATACATATTATCATAAGAATTTACACGCATAGTATATAATTGATGTTGTATTTGTTGTATTTTAATATTTAAAGAAATGGTTTATGTGAAAAATGATAAGAATATATCCTTATCCTTTCAGCAAAAATGTTAAATCACTGCCAGATCCTCCGCCAGGGAAATCAAGAGAAATAAAGAATTTTGAATGCAAAAAATATAAAAATGATTATAGTTGGTTGCTGGAAGCTAGAAGTAATTTGAAAAAATGTTTTCACTTATGTGATATATGCTCAAAAAAATTTAATTATATGAGATGTCTAGTGAAAAATTCTAATGTTCAGTATGAATACAATTTAAGTTACAACACTGCAAGAAACAACCCTAATGGTGGAAAAGAGCAAGTTGGCGAACATGTGTCTGGTACTCATTTGTGTGCAGACCATAAAAGTTTTAAGCATAAGAACGAACTATGTGATGTAAAAAACAACATACTTAAGATAAATAGTAATGCATCGAAAAACAGTGTGGATAGTAATCAAAGTATTACCAGCTTAAAATCAGCAAATGATAATAGTATTATATTTAGCAATTCTTTAAATCATAACAAAACTGATTGTTTGTCATTTAATGATGACGTGTTTATCTTCTTAGACGATTATCCAGGAAAACATTCAAATCGTTATAAAGATGAGGAAAAATGTGATACATTATTGCAAAATGTGAACTCCTTAAAGGGTGATGATCTCATGTGCCCCCAATTTCAATTTGATGATACGATAATACACATAAAAAGACACTTTAAAAACAATGTATCCTATTTTGCCTGTAAGCACGTTGAGATGAATGACTTGTACAATTTAGATGACGAAAACGCCAAATATGACAGCATAAATATTTATATGTGCGACAACAGTATGGAAAGTTTCTCTAACAATAATTGTGCACTAAATTCAAGTGAGCAAAAGGAACCGTTTAACTTAACACAACCAATTATCATCACTCCATTTAATAAAAAGGATGAAAAAAAGCAACAAAGTAAAGAATTAGATTACTTGAAAAACGTAAGTAACGACAGTCATAGATATGAATCTTTAAAGAGACATGATTTAAATGAAGGTATTAAGAGCAATGATCTGAACCTTGAACAAAATGGAAATTGTGAATTGTTTAATGTTTCCCTTTTTTGCGTGAACGAAGAGTTTGCTGCTTTATATGCTTCAGGACAAGCTGATAAAAACTGTAAAAGTCACATCAAAAACGAGAGCATGGGCAAAATCAATAATAATTATATCAAAAAGCAAGACATAATGGAAAATCTAAACAAAAATAGTGAGCAGTATACGCATAGGATCGATGATAATTGTAAAAATGACAATATAATTCAAAATCACGCGTTTAAAACAATGAACACGTACACAAATTTGTTAAACAAGGGAAAAAAAACAAGGACGTTAATAGATGAATTGCAGCAAACACTGATGAAGAGGAAAAATTTATATCTTGAAAGTCATAGTGAAAAAAATAATAATAGATCAGCAGATACGACACAAGAAGAGAAGGAAAAAATAATCGCTGAAGAATGTGTCCAACATATGGGGGCGAATAACAGAACAGAGTGTTCTAAAGAAACACACGGAAATAGTGTACCCCCCGTGGTAGACAATTTGAATGGATTACGTATTTATAACAGGCATACCATAAGTGAAAAAAAGACAATTAACAATGTTAATATTAATGAATTTAAGAGCAGACTTACAAAGGGTGGAAACTTAGTTCTAAACATTGAGGGGAGTAGTTCGAAAGGATTAAAATCAATATACAGTGAAGCAAAAAATGTGAACGGGAAATCGACCTATTGTGATGACAAAGAATATGAAAAACATGTTTATAATAGAGATGTTGGTCATGTAGAGCAGGATGTAAATAGCATTAAGGGCAGAAATCAAAGTGGCTGCAAAATGAGCACTTTTGTAAAATCCCATAAAGGATTCAAGGATAATGTAGGCACAAATAATTACGATATAGAAATAAAATCTTTCATCATTGATGACAAGGAAAAAAGTAACAATTTAAAATTGTTAGAACAAATAAAAAGTTACAAGCTCGTGGAAGAAAACAAGGAGGGAGCAATTAGCTTCAAAGGGGACTACACTCATATTGACAAAGAACGAACAGAAGACATATGCGAAAAAAATAAATCAAGAAATGTTACTGAAGATGAAAAATTACATATAAGCAGAATGGACAAAAGTAAAAAACCTTATAAAGCGCAAATAATTGGAGGGAGAGAAGAAAAAACATATTCCACCGATGGGAACTCTAAAAAGGTAGAAGTTAGCAGTGGTAACGAACATTCATTTAATTCGAAAGGTATCTGTAGGGAAAGGAAAAATGCAAATGGAATAAACGAGGAAAATGTAGTTAAGAGGCCATTGAAAGGAGATGAAAAGGGAAATATAATTTATGGGAAAAGAATCAGTGATAAACAGAGCAGTGATACAAGAAGCGGTCATGAAAGTAGCACCATTTTAAGACACGATATATTCAACCCTTTAACGCAAAATTGCAAACCAGGATTAAAAAATGAATTTAAAGATACTAACACCAGTTCTAAGACGGAGAATTGCAACCGAAGTGGAGATAATTTGCCCACTTCCAAGGAACAGGAAAATGGTTCATCAAACATGTGGAGCAAGGATGTGTTCATATCTACTAAGAGAAACACTACATTGGGGAACAACGTGAATAGTAATAAAGACGACTTAATGAAACAAACTAAAATGAAAGGATATTACGTGAAAGACAAAATACATGTGAATCAAAGTACGGGTGAACGCACGGAAGGGCAAGGCGAGCCACAAGACGAAGCACATACCACACGTGACAGACCCCAAGAGGCCGACAAATTAAAACACTGCAAGAAGAAAAACGGTGAGGAATGTTCACCTGATGGTATTTCTATTTTAGGAAGAGAGACAAAAAGTTATGGAGAACGCAAGAAACAAAATGAGACAAACAAAAACGAATCTGAAGAAAGATTAACTACAGAACTGAAAAAAAAATTAAGTAACATTTTAAGCTCATGTAAGAATCCTAACAAAATAAATATTCACAACAAAATATATGCATCCGAGATGGAAAAAATCAAAATGGATAAGAACACAATGGCATATATTAACAATAATTATTTTTTTAATGTTGACAAGGGTAACCACTTTGAGAATTGCGGAGAACAAGTAGCAAAAAATTCTTCAATGAAATATAATTTTAAAAATCTGGACTTACAATTCTGCAAAAGTAAAAACGCTTTTTATAGCTTTAACTATATGAGCAATGTGTTATCATCAAGCAGCTGTAGTGTGTCCAAAGAATACATTTTTAGGGAAAGCTACGAATCTAATATTTTAGATGAAAAAATTAATAAACTAAATGAGTTAAGAAAAAAGTATTTATTAAAGAAATATTTAAATGCAGTGTTGAATAGAAGTAAAAATAATTTTGTGGATAGTAGAACAAGCAAAAAAGTGTGTAACATGGATGTTCCCAAGTTGGCTTACAATGCGGCAAAAAATAAAATTGGTGAGAAGACTGATCCGAAGAATGAATCAGTTGGGGGAAGCCTACATTTTAAACAGAAACCTAATGAAAAATTAAAAATTTGTAAGAGGAATACTGAACTATGTCAAGCACCTCAATCGCCAAAAAAACAGGATAAAATACCAAAACCATTAGCTAGTCAATTGGAAATGAATTCGGTGTTGCGTTTGGAAAAAACACAATCGTATCCATTTGAGGAGTTTAACTTGTAAACACTTTTTTTTTTTAATTTCTGTGTCATAGTGGTGTGTTTCAAGGTTAACTGTTTATTTAGCAGTTTAGCGATCTGTTTAGCTAATTGTTTGACTCCTTTTCGCACCCATGGAACGTCTTTAAAATTTGTTAAAATTTTGTAAGTTTTCACCTTAAAAGTAGAAGGGAACAAATTGTTTGATTTGCACAACACATTTTTACCTACAACGTTAAAAAAAAAAAAACTATTGTTATGAAAAGAGGTAATGTGCTTAATCTGTGACGTGTGCTCACACTTAAACATGGGCGCCTTTGTGTATTTAATCAATCCAAGTTGTAAACACATCCAAGTGTGCATACACCATATACCACATAGTCCACCCTTCCTTTTTTAGTAGTTGTGACAATTCACTATAGTGTGTGCGCTTTTTAATTGTAACCTTTATATTGTTTTGCATTTATTTCGATGCTGAATAGAGGTATATTATTGTGCTGCTTTTTTTTTTTGTGAAAAATTTAATTACCTTTTGCCAGGAGTGTAAGAAGCTTTACACCCACGGCTCCTTTGACAATTGTGGTAAAAATGGAAAAATAAATAAACGGTGTAGTCCTAAAATTTTACTCGTTTTTAAAAGTTTGTTATTTGTTGCATTTTAAACATGAATTTGAAAAACGGATTCATTCAAAATTAAAACGCGGTAAATCAAAGGTTTGAAAAGTAAAAAAAAAAAAAAAAAAAAAAAAAACAAAAAAAAAAAACAAAAAAACTTTTAATTAAACAAACGTAAAAATATTAATACTTAATTTTTGTTCTTATTCATAATTATAACAATTGTTAACTATTTTTTGTTGCTTCATTTTCCCAGTGCGACATGGTGCAAAAATGGTTCGTAAAAATCGTTTGCACATTCGTTCATTAGATCATGAGCTCATTTGATCATCGCGCTGCACCGCGTAGATTGCCGCGCTGGACGTAGTGTGACTGCTTGCAAATTAAAAGCACAACAAGTATTCAGGATGTTGTGTTGTTTTATGGCTTCTTCTCCCACCAGGTGGTCATCTAAAATATAGCGTGTGTTGAAAAAAGGCTCTTGAAAAAATTACACATATACACTATTATTGCATTTGCTGTGCGTGCGTACATACATATGCATATATATATATATAGTGTGTGGAAAAAATTCGCCATTTGTGTGGCTGTTGGAAAAAAATTCGTGTTAAGTGAACTTCTCATTTTCGTAGAGTGTGGTTAGTTTATCCCCATGACTTGAACTTGCACTTATGCGGGAAGTTTTGTTTGTCCCTTATATTACTTCATCTCATCATTTATTTTTTGTACTGGCCGCGCGTAATAGTTACACGGGCACACGACGCATGCGACTTGTTCTGCTTGTTCTTCACCTCCTCCGCCTACAAGTTGTATCCCTTTTCACGCAACAAATCTTTGGCCTTTTCAACAAATACACTATCATCAGGTCCAGCAAATTTGATGTAGTGTGCAATTTGGTTCATCGTCCAATTTGATGGAACCACGCCCCCTAAGTTCATTTGAAAATGTTCTTCATTTATTACTGGTTCTACTTGATAGTCCGTTACTTTGGGGGGTTCGTCTTCCTTCTGCGTTCCTGGCAGTATTTTCATTCCATCGGGGATTGGAGAGTTTGCGTTTGGTGGAAAAAATCCGTTGAATTCTTCTTCCATTTTTGATCAAATTTTACGATTACGAAATTGAGAACTTGTTAGTAGTATGGTATAGATATAGTGTAGCAGTATACGTACGTAAAGAGACTGCGCAGCAATAAAGTTTAAAACCTGCTGGGAAAGTTTTGCCTCCTTATATAAATATGCTTTATTATATGTGAAATACTTTTAAGTGACGTTAAAAAACTGTCGTAAATGCCTATGTGCTCATAAAAAGGAATAAACTATTTCTTTAAAGAAGTAAAAAGAGTGACAAAAAAAAAAAAAAAAAAAAAAAGGGAGAAAAAAAATCCGTAAAAGTTAAAAGTTTAAAGGGTTTGGACGGTGTAACAGCATTTATGAGGAGCTTCAAAAATTTACAAATTCTGAAAAAAGTTTTGAATTTGTTTTATTCTTTTAAAAAAGGAATTTATAAAAAGATAAAATAAAAAATATTTTTTTTAAAAACAATTTAAAAAAAAGTATATATACATATATATATATATATATATATATATATA